AGTGGTTATAAGTTATTAAAATCAGTTAGCCTGTGTCATATTACGAAGTGATGTGGTGCTGCAAGATGTATTTAGCTAAATAAGTTTTTACAAGATGATTAATAGTGAGTGATGCTCATGTGATTATCAGGGAGAACATAAGTTGTAACCAGGGGAGTACACTCCCAACTCATGTCTATGATAATGGCTTGAACCTTAGTCAGTGTTGGGGTAAATTCGACATTGATGTTTTCAGTTTGCAGGAGATTTGCTCGACTGCTTATACTGATTATTTGCATGCATGATTGTGTCGCTAAACCATCAATTAGACTGACAAGGTTTTGAGATATTTACTGAATGAGCAACTGATAGAGAAACATACTGTAATCATCTGTGAGTGATGAAGATACCAAGAAAACAACACCATTTTATGGTAATTATAAGTCAATTTGTTGACCGATTTCGTTAATAGTTTCATTAATTTTATCAGTCATATTACGTGATTGTCAAGTTATGACAATGCTTTATGACGATATCCTGAAACTATTAAATTTAACTAGTTATAGTGTTGATTAAGGATTAGTCAGTGGAAAAATAGGTATTGTTGCTTTAGGTGATTCAAAATCATCAGAAATTTATAACGTTAAAGAATCCGAGACGCCTAATTTAATTATAAATTTCAATTCAGAAATATTCGTTTAGTGTTAATTCTAGTAGGCTACGGAGTTTTGATTTTAAACGTTTGTTTAGCCAACAGCTACCTGGGATTTAGTTATTTACTAGTGCAGTTGATAGTACCTAAATTTTTAATCTTATTATCTAAACTATGTTCGCATTTTAGGCTGCTAATATGATAAACCAATCCATAAACCCAAATACGATTAGCAACAACGACTATGATGGGTTTATTGATAAATGTTAAAGGCGATCAGATGATTTCTAAATTTAGAAGACATGGAGATATAGTGTAACGTATGTATGGGCCAGGTTAACATGCAGGTTGTTGACGTATATGACGATTTAAAAATAATGAACATGACCAGAAAATAATTTTAAAGTTTAGACTGCTTGTGAAACTTCAGGCAGGAATATGATGCGTTATAAACATTCCATAAGAAGTTACTGCATTTAGCCTAGGGACACTTACAAATATATAGCAAAAGGAACCGGAAAACATATACATGTTAAGTAAAAAAAATCATCCAGTAAAATAGTTGAACTCGCCTGGATTATTTTTGAAAATTAGATTATTCAGTGGACGACATATATAACGCCATTCGTGAGTAGTAATGATCCAAAAGCATCCAGAATAAAACATGCAGTATGGCAATCAATTCCAGGGTGCTTGATGCTGTTGAGGTTTTGGGACTCGCTCTGATCAGAACAACTGAATGAATCCAGATAATTGTGTGTGCCATCTAAAATGAACTTATGATTGCAGAAAACTTATAGCTGGAACTCACCGTATGTTTTTGGAGTAGTCATCCTCGTTGTTTGGCAATGGAACTCGAGAATATGAAATTAGGCAGGCAGTGGTCGGAAGAAAAGATATTACAGGATAGTGCATCGTTTAAAACAGGATGAGGTGTTAAGTGAAGGAACACTGAGAATTAGATCCAGATAACTATTTAGTCCTTGATCGCATTGTTAGTCAATGTATATTTACGCTATTTACAGGTCATATTTGCTAGAGCTTGATGTTTAAACAAGACTATGTCGCTGAAGCATGTAAATGCTATTACAGCTTGTTAACAAATCATCAAAGCTAATTAGTTAATATAGACGACCAGTTTTTATTATCGATTGAGCTAGTTTGTCATGAGGACTAATCAATATAACATTACGATAATGCATGTGAGCATTAATCAGAGGACTATTGGAATACAGGGTTAACATAAATATAAAATCGATCGAGAAAGTTGAAGTGGAAATAAGGATTAATAATAATAGGTTGCGTTTCTTTAGTTGGATTGCCTCAACTGCCGAGGAGTTCCACAATAGGATGAAACAGTCGTTTAGTGCTTCCAGGTTTTCCATGGTGGTCTAGCTTCAATTGACTGATGATCTCAACCATTGAAATTACTTTACAATCCACAAAAACCCCTTCTCATACTAATCAACATATGCTCACTAGTGACTGGATTCGAGAGGTATTTCCAGGAGTTTTAGTGAGAAGCAGTGACCAGTGGAGTTCAACCGGGTCTATTGTGAGATAGTAACTCATTGACGACAATGGTGGACGTGTAGCTCAGTTTACTAGATTGGTTGAAGTTAGACATTAACACTGTCGGATGCCTGCTGAGTGGTCTAGAGATTAAGCGTTCGCTCGCCAGACTGGTAGGTATATATATTTACAATATTCAGTTTAATAAATTTATTTACAGCCTTGCTATACTATACTAATATGTCTTTAATATAACTTCCAACTAAACACTTTCATGTAAGTAGGTTCTTAAATATCACAGATTGTAAGCAGCTGATGAGAACCGACGAAATCGGATGAATTCATACTATTCTGCAAGAATCTTTGTTCTTGCTCTTTTCAAAACGATCAAGGGAACTCTATGTGTATCAAATAATACATATGATAAACTTTCCAAATGTACCAACTCAAATGTGATGTAAGAAAAACTGATACAAAGGATATTTCACTAAGAAATGCATATGACACTTATTTGATAAGTGTTACACTCTTTTAATTTGGTGGTTTAAAATTACTGAGCTTATGTTACCGCTTTCATTGTTGCTTAGAAGTGAAGCATTAAATTAGTGTATAGACGCTGATAGTGTTATGCAGAATAACAATGAAAGTTTTTACAGTGGAAGGTATTCAAATTAGATAATACAATAAAAGAAACCAGCTGAAGTACAAATCTTCTCCATCATTTCAAAATGAAACATAAAACGTGAATGAATAAATTGGAATGGTTTTCCTTTTAATTGTACATCGAAAAAGGATACGAAGACGTTTAAAATGACAAGTTGGAACAGATCAATGTAAATTCTGATCTACGTCAATGAATGAGCGGAAAAAGTGAAGAGGTAATTAATCTATGACATGAATGCGGAGTATAAAGAAAGTTGCATTAGATTAACGTTTGCTAGTGCATTAAGACTTCCTGATTGGGGTCCTAGAGACAATACAAAACACCGGAAATTTAAGCCAGTCTCAATCGTGCTATAGCTTTCTTCATCGTTCTTTACAAAAACCAGAGGAACTCCTTCAATTGAAATAATTCTTCCTGGATGTTTGTTCTAAATTTAACTGTCACTTTTATGATAAACTAGTCTTGATTACGTATTTTTGGTTATTTGTGCAATTCTGGATTATATTCGCTATCTTCCATCTATCTCTTCATAATTTCATTCTTTTATTCGTTAATCTTGATCGTCTTAACAATTCTCATTGGTTGGTGGTTGAGACAAGATTTTGAGATGGTGGAAAAGATCTGTATCTCAGGTGGAGGATTTTGACAGAGTTTTGTTCTTTGAACTGGATGGTTTGGTCGTAGAGAAGGTAGACGTTTGTACTGATGATATTGTTCAGAAGAACAATGAAAGCTCCACGACCAGACCATCAGCTCAGAGAACAAAACTCCATCAAATATGAAACAAGATTGAAATGGATATCAAAATCCCTCTGCTAACTTTCGATTTTCCATGATTAATCTAATACTTTCTTTATCATTTGATCTTTATTATGTATGCTAATAGTTAGAGTCTTGTTCAGTTTAAAAGGCTAACTTTATTCCTGGTATAACAAAAGAATTAAAACACTTTCTTATTTTCGTAATATATTACTGTAATATGATTATAGAACTATATTCTGAAATTCTCCTATCACCAGATTGGATATTCGATCGATACGCTATACATGGACTGAATCACGTCATATAGGATACACGACTCGTGATCAAAAATAGAAAACTAGAATACAGACCAGATAATACTTTATCCAATACAATTACAAGCAGACTGAACTCAATAAGTCCAGGGTACAAACCAATAATTGGAAATGAATCACATATTAAATGGTTAGTAATCTGTCCACGCTTAGCGTTTAATTGAACCTTAATTCGATCAACTGCATATCACTTCCAAATAAAGTGCTTAATTCATTTAAACTAATAGGTGATATTCTCACTTGTAAATTAATCCTTGTTTAATTATCTAAACAGTGTATTGTCGTTTTAGACTGTTTGTGGTTCTGGGGAGCATCTAACACTAACATACAATCAACAGTTAGAGATTCATAAATTTACAATGGTCAATTTGATTCCCATAATAAAGCTATAGTTTCAGATATATCTTGTTATTTGGTTTCGGTATTTCGCAAGTAAATGTGGTATTACGTAAGATTTCCAGTATAATAATTCTATAAAATTACAGTTTTATACCAGCTATCTGATATGAAATCAGTTTTTTCTTCAAAATCAGGGCAATTATTTCAAGTCTATACACTTCCTGAGAACGAACATATTGTAAGTCAAGATTAACTTGACCTGAAGACAAGGAGTTGCATCTAAAACACAAGATTTGAAGATTATGTTTCAAAAACCATAGAGATTAATTGTTTTTGGTCCATCCTGAATAACTACCTTCTCGAGTTTGTATGGATTCACATGTCAGCCAGTCAGCTATAAAGCAGGACCAGGCACATATGTGCATCGGTCCAAGTTGCCATACCTCATTAGCACAACAAGAAGTAGTTAATTCAGTGGTGGTGATATATAAAAGAAAGATTGCATATAAGAACATAGTACAGGAAGAAAGAATTAGTTCGTAGAAAGAAAGATATGAAGCGATTTTAATCTCATAGTTTAAAGGAAGACAGCCATTAAGACCACAAATTCACTAGTAAATTTGCTTTGATGAATATATACATCAATGTATAATCTATTAAACATAATGATTATTCAGGACTACAGGAGACAAAATGATGGTTACTAAACAGGAATCAAATAATGTTAACAATCACATAATACCAACCTATCATATTTCGAATATAATCTACAACTTACTTCATCAGATTGATTTGCATTTAATATTTGATTTTGTCTTTCCCAGCTAGTATTTAATAAGTCAGCAGTAGTTTCACAACATTCTTTTACTTGGCTTTCAATATCCTAAAATAAAACAAAAGAAATTTTGTGGTTCTCAACCGTGATCTCTTTGTTGATGAATGTTAATGTAAACTTTTAGCGTCCATGTGAAGCAATAAAAGGTTTGCAAACAATCGCACACCTTGTTTATAATTTTCATGCAGTACACTCACATATGCCCACGATGTTTTTCTGCATACAAACGCCGGTTTAATCGCTACTATCAGAGCACGTTAAAAACATATCTGGAAATTTTTGTATAATTGAATAAATACATACATTTGTAGTGATCTGCTTTTATGACGAGAATGCGATTGGTGTAATTGGAACATTTATTATTATGGCCAACTGCACCAACGATTGTTTTACTGTACCTTTTTATTTAATTGCATCAAAACACATACTTTTCCGTTGTGCATGACCTTGAACTTACTCATGTACGCATGGTAGTCTCGCTTGTAAACTTTGGCACGATCCCGGTATTAGTTCGGAACCACAAGATCACCAACAAATACATCCTAACTACAATCTACAACTGTCCTACTAATATTTATCCTACGGAGGAATTTAATCTGGTAATTGGCACGTAATCAATCTGTAGTTGTGACCATAGTCAACTAAGAGCCGACATTATCACATATTATCATTGCTTATTCTAAAATATTGAACTAAATTTAGAGAAACCAAACGATTCACAAACGTTTTATGGGTATCGCTTAACGACATTTTTAACTGTTTTAAAAGACAGAAAAAATTACCAAAGATAAAGATTGGATTGGTAACAAAAGCCAATTGCTTTTTAAATACAAAACGTTGGCGCAAGCAAAGTGAAGGTCTATGTTGACAAGTAATGGAAAAAGTGAGGATGATCAGAAATTCATTGTGTTTAACACTTTCTGTTAGTATCCGCATAAAATATAAAGAAATAGAATGGAACTGATTGGCTGGTAGAAACAATATCTCACCTGGCTAATTTCCGAAAGCTTTTCATGCCATTGTCTCAACCGGTCCTTATGTTTTTCTTTTCGACGAGAGGTTACACGTTGTAGTATGTTTGTGAAATCACACTTTTGTTGTGATACCGTGCATTTATCAGCAACTAATGGTGGTAAAACAAGCTGATAATCTGATTCCAATAGAATAGGATCAACTGAAAAAGGCAGATTTTGAACAACGATATGTTCTTCATAATGGGGAATCTTAGTGAACGCCTGAGAAATTAGTGACAAAAGAAAAAGTAGTGGTTTATGTGAGTACATTAATTAGGTATATCCTTTATGTTTCTGGCTAAAGTTACCGATAACAAGCTTTTACATTGACTATGGTAAGAAGGCAAATATTGATAAGACTCAATTTCATGGGGACCGGAACATTTAGTCCATATATTCATCCAAGAAGTGGGTAAACAAGCAATAAATAGAACTGCGACCAAACACCTTTTCATGATCCTAAATGCTGCCTTATCGTGACATGAAAGCTCAAATAGTGTCATTGTAAGCACTAGTATGTAAATCTATGTAATTCGTTGGGAAAATATTTATGTTTTCCTCCTAGCGTTTAAAAATGTGACTCGTCTTCAGTGCATAAATTTTATCTTTGTCATTTTTTACCGATTTTTCGAAACTGTATTTACTTTAGTATTAATAACCGTGATTATTGCAAATAACACACACCGAATATTTCAATTTGCAGCTTACTGAAGCTTTATAATCAAACCGAGCATAAAGTATGTCTAAGTTGACACTTATGGTAGATAGTGTCTAAAAATATCCGGGTCAAAACCGTTTATAAACATGTATTCCCAACGAACTGATAAAGGTTGACTTATTCCATACAAATCTGACTAGTGCCAAATCATAAAAGAAGGATTATCCCATATATTTAAGTGCGTTCTCACTAGTCTTACAAAATAAAAATGGCTTCACAAAGTTACATAACGTTGAAATAAACCTCGATGAAAAGTAAGCAGTGTCATTAGATTCATGTGAAAGAACTTCATTCCCCACCTTACTATATTTTGTATCACAAATTGTGTTTTACTGATGCCTAAATTATATGAACAATAACGTTATCTCCACCCGATCTGCAACTGTGAATGCCGACATCAAAATAGATTATAACACCTCACTTGAATGGTACTAAAGACGTAACCATAGGCTGAGAGTTCTTTTTCGATTTAGGAACAAAGCCTTTTTTGTTAGTTAAAAAATCATGTATAATTCACTGTGTGACGACAGTCACATTAATAAATAGCTTTGAATATCGAATGCCGTAACAGTTTATTTGCTAATGGTACAAGGAATGAATTACGAAAAACACCTTAAAACCACCTATTTAACTTCTATTCTAGCAACAAAAAACTTTAGGGCTTTTAAAAACTTATCTAAAATATACTCTAGTCCACTATTTCTTGAAGACCTACTGATTAAATGATCACTGACACATTATTTGTTTATCAACTAACCGTAGTCAACAACTTCACTTGGCTCATTCTGCACGCTTGTAAGCTTCTGTAATGAAAATAATCACTAGTTATTAAAAGCCGGAATTTCGATAACCCGCTGCAGAAAGTACTATGACAACGATGAGTGTTCAGCAGATCATGGATGTTGTATGCAAATCTGCTGGGTCGAGTAGCCTACACCTTGGTAAGTACAGAAAAAAAGGGACTTTCAATTCATTTAATTGTTTTAATATCTGATGTCATTGCCAATTCAATGCTCTCGTGTTAATCTCTACTATGGCAGGAATTCTTCATATTACTGTCCGATGATGCTCTTGTCAATATGTTGTAGGGCCAGTGAAATGTCACTGAGCCCTAGCCAAATCATCCGGCAGTTGGATCACTGAATGTCGAACAGATCATCGCTCCCTGCCAAGGTCATGTACAAGCAACGCGCATTAGTTAATGATACGCCATGGACTGGCCCATGCGGCAGTGGTCTTACTTTCGCCTGTATCTACCTTAACTAATATATTTCTGTAATAACGTCCTTTGTGTTGTACAGTCTTCAAAGCATCTATAGTACCTTGTTACGTCAATGGGGGTAGTCCAAGTAAGGTGCTGACCACGAGGTGTGATTTCGACGTTAGTTGGTTCGTCACACTATTCACGTCTAACTCGGGTCGGCCTCCAATCATTTCGACATAGATCATCTACGTTGGTGATTTACACTGGTGAGCAAGACTTCGAATAACGCAACCTATCACTATAATCTTTATTATTGTATTCTATACTTATTCTTTTTCATTTTTATCATCGCCTATGTTAATCTGTTACTGTGAACTTTCGTTGCTTCATATCAATGTTGATTAGCATTTAAACCTAGATAATTCGTTCAATCGACAGAACTAACCAATCAACTACGATTATAATCGGCTATCGTGGTTCTTTAACAAGCATTAGCAGCATATAAATGCTCCTGTGTAATATGTCTGTTAAAATATCAACCACTCGTGAGTATAGCCACAAGGCAACACGAACGCATATCTCTTTGTACCTTATCCACCGGTATAAATAAGACAAGATTAACTATCGACTATAAATTCATCTTTCTGCTTAACCACTATCCACTAGAATGTTCTGCTTTTTTTTACCACTGCCTGCCTAATTTCCAATTGCTGAGTTCTATGGCCAAACAGAGGATACGAATGCTAGAAATTCTCGGTGAGTTTGAACTATAAATTTCCTGCGATCTTAGATCTCGTTTAGACTGTTCGTCAGGTAATGCTATGTATTCGGCTTACATTAATTCTGGACTTATACAAACTCAGTCTACAACGTTGTGTTAACCGAAAAATTTAATCAACAGTAGTTCGTGCATAATCCAGATTCAAACTACTGCCTACTTCATTACTTAAAGGCAAGAGTAACCCAGGCGAGTTTCATAATTTCATTAGATTATTTCGTACTATATTTATGATGCGTGATAACATTTCGTAGTTGCTTTCACGTAAACTAGTCATATATTCGGTCACTGCCGTCAAGTTTTAGTCGAAATCATGTACATTTATGACTCGTTAGTCGACATACTGTGGTAAAACATATTGCATGTACACGAGCACGCTTAGTCCATATCCCAAGTACACATGTTGTCGTACTTAATATGTCACTTAACGCTAGATAATAAGCTCTTTGTATCAGCCTTTTACGAAATGGCCACGATATCTGGACCCTTTAAACCTTAGTTACATTGGTGGTTACCATTTTAATTAATGTTTATTATACCCCTTGTATTTGCTATTAATTCACACGGTAAATCACGGCTCGATTTCCTTATTACACGACAGTCATTTCAATTCTATTTTCGGTTTATTTACATGCCATACGGGTTTGGAAAATATCTAAACGTCCTCGAAAATTCTCCACGAACCCAACCATAGTTTTCGTATATGTTTTTATTCACACATCCAACTGTTACGCTAATCATACCTAAACGAACGTTCAGTGCAACTGTCAGTATACGTAAGAACGATGTTATTTAGACTTGACATTGTAATACATCTGAACTATTGTAGTTGTTCTACTTCGATGTCGTACTTCATTTTATGACGTATTGTTTCCTCGTGGCTGTTATTTAACAGATGATTCCGATACATCAATCGGCTGTTCAACTACTCGACGATTTACAACCTGTCCAGTCCAATTGGTGGTCTGACGACAATATCATTCGCGCGAATCATCGGTTTATGCAGTCGAGCGAATCTCCTGCAAACTGAAAACGATATTTTCGCCTCTATCCCAACACTGACAGCGTTTTTCACGGGTATCATTGACATGAGTCCAGAGTGACACTCTTGGTTTCTTATGTTCATTACGATATTTTTCTGTTCACTAACCGAACAAACACGCAGCATTCACCGTTTATCATCTTTTAGAGACTTCATCGTGCCACCTTTTGCTGTCGATTTGTAGCCTTCAACCCTTACTGACTGTAACAGCAGTCATCGACTTTTCAAACTGTGACTACAAGTTGGTCAATAGCTTCGCACAACGAAATCACGACCACTCTTCACTGTTATACTTCTGTACTTACTGTTAGTCTGTTGGATATAGATATAACTAGAATTTGACACTAATTAATAGCTGTCAACGACACTGTCCGACTTATAACTTTAAACTAATGACAGTACAAATATGGATATCGATTGATAGTACACTTATCCTACTATCGCTATAGCATCATTACTCTTGCGGCAGACTTAACGTTTGTCATCGGAGGAACTGAACTACTTGTCAACGCTATATATTTCAGCGCGACTTGATAGAACAATAAAACGTTTTGTTCTTTTCATTATTTCTATGGTTAATCAACTTACGTTTAGGCAACGTCCTACTAACATATTATGACTCGCTGTTTCCCGACCAGTTTCTGCCGCCTCCTTTCCATTTGTTTTACAGATGATCAATACCTGGAGAATTTATAATATTCGTTTGGCACTCTCCGGCGCGCGACTGCTCCCAACATGTTTGGTACCGATTCAAACGGCCGTTGAATCTGGTGGGGGAGTATTGTAGGGCCAGTGAAATGTCACTGAGCCCTAGCCAAATCATCCGGCAGTTGGATCACTGAATGTCGAACAGATCATCGCTCCCTGCCAAGGTCATGTACAAGCAACGCGCATTAGTTAATGATACGCCATGGACTGGCCCATGCGGCAGTGGTCTTACTTTCGCCTGTATCTACCTTAACTAATATATTTCTGTAATAACGTCCTTTGTGTTGTACAGTCTTCAAAGCATCTATAGTACCTTGTTACGTCAATGGGGGTAGTCCAAGTAAGGTGCTGACCACGAGGTGTGATTTCGACGTTAGTTGGTTCGTCACACTATTCACGTCTAACTCGAGTCGGCCTCCAATCATTTCGACATAGATCATCTACGTTGGTGATTTACAATGTTTTTGTTTTGTTGAGAACTGTTAAGTGTTTTGCTAGCCATTTATCTGCTTGAGAACTAAATGTGCCTTCAGATACATTGTACTGTCATATCAGGAATATCTCGAATTTCGTGAATAATACTTCCTAGGCAACAGTGTAGCAATTCAGAAACTCCTAGAAAACTCGAGTAGGAGAATATTAACTTACGGCAACTCAAAGTTCAAAACTACAAACTGATCGCTTATTCTGATTAAAATGATATATATTAAGGAACAATACCCTATAAATTGGCTTTGTTTATGTGCTGACCTTGCTAGCTTTATTGGGCACTTCTTGCAGAAGGGATTCATTCATGCATCACTATCAGGTTTTGGCCTAATTTAATGTGAAGCCACTATCATCTTCTGGATAGTGAGTCTGTAGTGGCATTGGACAATAGCCACACAATCCACAAAGCTGTGAACACGAGACTACTCAGAAAATAGATATTCAATATTTAACGCGGAGAAA